GCCCGCCTTTTTCCCCCCTCCCCCCCCCCCTCCCCCCATTCATTCCTTTAGGGGTTTTGTTTGTTTTTTGTTTTGGTGTTTGCACCTTTTCAAACACTTGTTGATTTTCATAATTTGTCCTTCATCCCCTTAGTTAACCCATGTGGATTTTAATTCTTTCCTCCTAAATCAGTCTGTACATCATCATTCTAATAATTTGAGTTGTTTTTTTCTAAGCTCTCTCCAGTTAATACTGTTGCTGGTAACATAAAGTTTTCCAGACTTGTATGTAATATCCCAGATGCAGTCACATCAGACTAATGTAGAGAAGGGTGGTTTATGTGTCTGTTTCATGAGGTCCTGCTTCTGTACATGCAGCTCAAAATTGAATGGTCTTTTCTTGCTTCCTGGTTGCTCTGTAAATTCATGTCTGTTCACCATCTTTTCTAAACAGAATTACTATTGCCCATTTTTCATCCTCCCTTGATTTTTCTGGGTTTGGGATTGTTTTCACTAGATCTGTCAGTTTATACTTTTCCAAACTGGATCTCATGTTATTTTCATGTTGTTATTTTCTAATAATCTCTTGTGCTTTCTCTAAGCCTCTTTGTATCTTTTCTTTGTACTTAATAGTGTTTAAAACTGCTCCTAATTTGGTGTTGTGACTGTCACTAAAATGTGATTTTAGTCCCATCTCTAGATCATTAGCAAGGATATTAAATAAAACAACTTAATAGTCCCCCATAAACTCTGAAAAATAAGAACTTGTTTGCTTAATGTAAGGTACAAGCTTAATGGGCTAGCGTAACCAATGCACTCTAACTACTCTGTGCAATTGTAGCAAAGCAGCTGTAAACCCAATCTAACAAGAAGGTTAAGCAGATTTTATGGCTCTCCCCCATAAGCAAATCAGTGTAAAGCATCTGGTGTGTACTGGTGAATATGACTCAATGAGAAAACTACTTCAGAAGCAGACTAGTTGGTACCAGTGTCATTGACTCCTAAAAGGGATGTTTTATTATTGTTGTTGTTATTATAAAGAAATTTATTCCCAGAAAAGCTGCTGCCACTGAAAAGAAATTGTTGCTTGGAGCCCTCCTTTATTTCAGTCTTAGCATCACTTTCCCAGCATGTTTGTCCCACGGGAAACTTCTGAGAGAAGCATGTAAGCTTTTAATGCTCTTCATAACACAATTAGGTCAGATATGATATGGTCAATTTTAATCAGGCAAACTAAAGTTAGAAGTAAATGAAGACGGACTTTTGAGAAATGTCTAAGCTTACCAGTGAATTAGATCTGGATGAAAATTTTCTCTGCTTTAAATGTGATAAGAGGTGCCAGGGGAATTAAAAGACTGTTCAGGCATTTCTGGTCAAATAAATAAAAGTACAGCATCTTATACAATCAACACTAAGCTATCAGCATAGAGTTAGTAACAGAAAGCAAATCAACAGGACACAAACATGGATTGATGCAATATGGATTTCAATAAACCAGTTTAATTTTTGCATCTGCTGAACACAAAATACAGAGAAGCAAACTATAAGAGTTGGGGGGGAAGCAATTTGTTTTGTACATTCCTTTCCTGTGGATTTTATTTAATACTGGTGATATAACAAGGTCTGTTTCTAGATTTCCTGTAAATATATTGATTCAATCTCATGTTCATAATAGCTATTTCAGATAGTGCTTGTTGACACTTGCCTGTGACAAAACAGTGCAGGTGCCCATAGGAGAATGTTGCATAGACAGCTGTGGAGTAGCCAGAGATCATTCCCTAGTATGTCTCTGAACCTTTATCATAGGTGGAGTCTGTACAGTTTCTAAACATAGTGATATTAAAGTGATACATTTAGATTAGAGGTAGCCACAAGATGGCCCACAGAGCCCTACAATATAAATCATGATTGCTGTCATTTTTAATGTGATTGTTGAGCTGATGGAGACTGTCCCAGCACTGCAATGCTCTACATTCTTTTTAGTGTCACTATGAAAGATTGAGGGTATGTCTACATTACAGAGGGTTTTTTTTGAAAAATGTCTGTTTTTCCGAAAACACCTCACTTACGTCCACACTGCAATTGCGTTCTTTCAAAAAAAATCGAAAGAACAGAGGGGTGTTTCCAACATTAGTAAACCTCTTTCTATGAGGAAGAATGCCTTTTCCAAAAGAGCTGTTTCGGAAAAAGGTGTGTGTGGATGGGGAAGAGGGAGTTCTTTCGATAGAAGAGGAAAGGGGAAAAAGCACAAGTGCTCTGGTGGCCACTCCACCCTAGTAATCACAGCTTACCTGTGAGATAGCATCCATTCAATGTAGACACTATCTGTCGAAAAAGCAAATTCCCTTTTCAATGTGCTTTGGTAGTAGGGGCTTTCTCTTTCAGAAGAAGTTTTTTCAGGTGATCTCTTCCGGAAAAGCTTCTTCCGAAAGAAGCCTGCAGTCTAGAAATAGCCAAAGGCAGCTGCAGCTTGTTCCGCTTTACAGCTCTCAATCTCCTAGTAAAAGGCTATTTTGAGTTTCAAGTTAAGCAAAATTTTGGCACTTCCTGTGGTAGTCCTAGCATCCTTAACAAATATATTTGCATTGAAGAATAATGAAACCTTTTTTTTTCACCCCAACAGAAATAGTTCCTAGAGATCTGAGGTTGAAAGACAAGTTTTTAAAGCATTTAACAGGTAGGTAAATTTAGATTTTGCATTGTATCCATCATTTCATACACATACCACCTAAGCCCCAACTCCCCTTCTACTAGGCCTTTTGGGCACTGTTGACTACTGACTTGTTCTTTTTCTATATTTCAGGTCCTCTCTATTTTAGTCCAAAATGTAGTAAACACTTTCATCGGCTTTATCACAATACAAGAGACTGTACCATCCCAGCTTGTAAGTGCTATAATCCAAAGCTAACTTTTTTCAAACAGAAAGCTATGGAATGGGGTGGTGGTTATAGCAGATAATAGTGGTAATACTGTAGAAGTGTACAGTGCCTTTTTAATGAAAGGGTTCAGAGTGCTTTAGAGATATTAATTGATCTTTACCCCCTGCATGTGAGGTAAGTTATCATTCTCATTTTACAGGAAAGTGAGGCACAATTTCCACTGGATATATTGTGTAAAATGAGTGTTAAAACTGTTTTCTAGGATTCCAAGTTTATTGTCTCTTGTATCCAAATGAAGTGCACTCAATTTACAAGAACAAATTTAATTGCTAGTGTTTCAGATTCTGAAAACCAACTGGTGTTACTTCCTTTTCATGCATCATCACTTATAATACACACACTACAAATTAGGGCATGTTGCATTTCAGCAACCTTGTGGTCTTCCAATTATGCCCTCAATGACATCTTGAAACCTTGTTGCCTTCAATGAGTTTCCAAAGGTACTGTAAACTTGATGGAGATTAATAAACAAATCAGTGTTGGCAATTAATTAACAATGGATGAACAAAAACCCAACTTAATGTATTAGCTGTGTAGACAGTGCAAAAAGGGCTACAGCACTGCAGGATTTTTTTATTTTTTTTTTTTAACAGCAGATTCTGAGTAAAATCTCAGAGTAAACCTGTTTTTCCAAAGTCTTTTTTAGAAGAGAGGCCCACTTTAATGTACATGTTAAAGGTCACGTAGTGGGTGAGTTGCAGAGCTGGAAATAGAACCAAGACTTCCTGACTGAAAGTCTCATACTTTAAGGAGGTTTCTTCTCCATTTGTGACAATCTGAACATTTTATCTGTACATCTGTGAGCCTTCTTCCAATCTGTCATTTAATAGTCTATTTGAAAACAAGATGATGGTCTCCACCTAATTTGTTGTGGACCACATCACAAAAATAATCGGATTTAATGCCAATTCGAATGTTCATCAGTGAAACCAAGGATCAAGTGCACTTAAAGATGAATTAGCTTTTCCTTCAGGCTATGTCTAGACTGAAGGAATTTGTCAGCAGAGGCAATGCAAATGAAGCGCTCATTAGCATTTCTCACGCTGTCATTTGCATAGTCTCTTCTGATCCTTTTTGGAGAAGAGGTGTTTGCGCACACAAAAAATGCAGTGGAGACAGGGCCATTTTGCACAAAGGAGTACTCCACGAGGAGAAACAGTTAATCCAAACTAAGGACTTAGTTCGGATTAACTTTAAACTGCCTCGTGTAGCTGCGGACAGTTCATTCGGACTAAGGGGGATTTAAAAATGGCAGCTGGATGTGAACATGCAAATAAAGCCCGGGATATTTAAATTCCGGGCTTCATTTGGAACTCCGGTTCCCTGATTTGCCTACCTAGCTCGAATTTACAAGCTAGTGTAGACACACCTTCAGGGAATGTCTCATAGCATTTTGAAATATGTATGCTGTTTTTATTATCAATGTATAATAGTCTTAGTTTGGTTTAGGTCAGGATGGGGCACCTTATTTAGGTCGGGGGCCGCTGACCCACGGAACAATCGGTTGGAGGTCACACACAAATGAGAAGCACAAAAAACAAACAAAAAAAATCCTCACTGATGTGGCCCCTGACTGAGGAGAAAGACACTCCCCATTTTCACTTGCATACCAGAGCCTAGGGAGGACCGGACTAGTAGATTGTGTGCTCCAGCCCCACTGTGGGTGGCGGTTGGAGCGCCAGCACAGGATTCCCAATTCTGGAGGGGGAGCCCTGAGGGCCAGATCCAGGCAAGCTGAGGGCCACATCTGGCCCTCGGTTCCCCACCACTGGTTTATGTTGTAGTATGAATACTGTAATACTTATATAATTCTGATTTTTGGTTACATCTATTTATTTATTTTGTGCAACTATTAAGATTAAATGAAACAAGAAAATAAAGCACTTGCACTTTGCTGTCTCAGAGAGGGGAAAGAGCTCTCTCACTGCCAGTACAAGTTTTTCTTTCAGTACATTTTCAAGCATTTTGCATGGTTTGGTGGTATCATGAGCTCAGATGAGGTAGCTCAAGAACTATTGACACTTCAGTTGTAGTTTAGGCTGTTAGTTATAGAATTGCAGGCGGTCTTCAACTGAGCATGTGAGCAATCTTTGAATAATTCCTTTTCAATCTGCACTGCAAACACAATAGATCATCCGACTGAACTTTATGAAACACTTTCAAACATGACCGCTTCAGTTTTACTTATCTGTTTAACAAGACTATACAAAGATCTAAGGAATACAGAGCAAAGAACCATCTTGTCCTTAGTTGGAATACCTCTCCAGGGTGCAAGCCTCAGCAAATTATATAGAGGCCCCGAGTTGCCAGTGTATCAGAACCTCCCTCTTGGTGACAGAGGAGAGGAAGAACAAACATCTGGTATTTGATCTGCTGCAGGAGTTGCAGTAAAGATACTAAAATGTTCATACCTGACTGCCTTTGGGGCTCCACTCCAGATTTTCTACTGACGTTTATTCTCAGAGTCTTGCATTCTTCTGAATTCACCCACAAGGCAGTGGGGGCTTCTCTATCAGTCTTAGCCTTATACCCTCCCATGCTACCTACAAAGCAGTGGGTTTGATGAGCAGCAGATAATACTGGCTACTCATTTATGATAGTAGGCATCACCTGACCATGGGCTATACCGAGGTGGGCAAGAGGCAGCTAGCAGGCTGAATCTGGCCTGCCAAGCCACCAGATCCTGCCCAAGGCCACCTCGCCAGGAGCTTTACAACACAACAGCTCATGTCTCTTTAATCAGCTGGCTGCTAATTGCTCTGGATGCTGGGGAAAGCGGGGGAGGCTTTGCTTGCTGTCCTCACTCCCTAGCTAAATCTCTTAGCTCCCATTGGCTAGTTTCTTACCAATAGGAGCAGAGAAATTTTTCTGGAGGCAAGGGTAGAGAGCAAAGTCTCCTCCCTTCCTCACTCCCCTCCTCCGTGTTGGAGCAGACCCAGGTGGAACAGCCAGTCCAGCAGACAGCATGGATTCTGTCTCAGGTTCCTGTAGGGCTGCTGGCTGGGAGCCACCTAGGTAAGCACCTCCCAGCCAGGGCCTGCCTCTGACACCCTATTTCCTATTTCCAGCCCCAGGCCACCACCCAAACCCTCTGTATCTCCTCTCCCCACCCGCTCCAGGTCACAACTCCCTCCCAGACCCTGTACCCCTCCTATACCCCTCCCCCTCAAGCCAGAATCCTCTTCTGTACCCATAACCCCTCCTGGAACCTGCATCCATTCCTCTGCCCCAGGTCACTACCCAAACCCTCTGCACTCCCTTGCCCCAGGTCACAACTCCATACCAGACCCTGCATCTCCTCCTGCACCTCTTCCCCAGGCCAGAATCCTCTCCTGTACCCATATCCCCTCCCAGATCTTGCACCCCAAGCCCTTGCCCCAGATCATAACCTTCTCCTTCATCCAAATTCCCTCAGACCCCACACTCCTTCCTGCACCCTAGTTCTCTGTCCCAACCTCCCTTCTGCACCCCACCTGCCATTCCAGACCCCCCTCCACAGAAGTGCGGCCCTTAACCACTTACCGAAATCTTGGAGTAGCCCCCCATTAAAGATTATTGCCCACTCCTGGACTATACTTTAGTGGGTAGCAGGTTTAAAACTAATAAAAGAAAGTTCTTCTTCACACAGCGTGTAGTCAGCTTGTGGAACTACTTGCCAGAGGAGGCTGTGAAGGCTAGGACTATAACAGAATTTAAAGAGAAGCTAGATAAATTCATGTAGGTTAGGTCCATAAAAGGCTAATAGCCAGGGGATAGAAATGGTGTCCCTGGCCTCTGTTTGTCAGAGGCTGGAGAAGGATGGCAGGAGACAAATCACTTGATCATTGTCTTTGGTCCACCCTCTCTGGGGCACCTGGTGCTGGCCACTGTCGGCAGACAGGCTACTGGGCTAGATGGACCTTTGGTCTGACCCAGTATGGCCGTTCTTATGTCCTTATACCATCCTGTACTGCCATAGGAAACAGATATTTAAATAACTAGTCTTTTCTTCTGACTCTATGGACTTAAAAGATATTTAGACATGTAACAACTATTCATTTCAATCAGAGTTAGATACCTTTAGAGATCTGAGCCTCTAAGACTCTATTACTCTCCTCTTCAATTGTTCTAGAAGGAGAATTTGTTGGATGACTGTACTGATATTTATCTATTAAGTCATTAAGATCTGCAGTTCAGTGATTGGCCAGTGCCACTGCAAACACCTAATTTGCACAATCAGATGCCATCCTTGCAGGTTCAGATCCAACACTTGTCCACACCATAACTAGTTAGATATACAACTGAACATATATTCATACTCACAAGCTGTTTTCATCTACAGTTGTGCTGTTTGTGTTCAGAACCAAAGAATTTTCAAAGAAAATGCATAGAAATTAGGCACCTAATATTTAAACAGTAAATTCTTAAGCATATCGAGCCGATGTCTATCCTGTTATAATAGCCTAAGTTGTTAAATCTAGGTACAGATTAAAATTAATCATGATAATTTACATAGCACCTCTAGAAATGTTTATTTTTTGAAACCAAAATCAGTGACTTTAGTTCTGTCATTAAGTTATTGTATTTATCTTTTTCATGTCAGATTATAAAAGATGTGCCAGGCTTCTTACTCGACTGGCAGTAAGTCCAATGTGCATGGAAGGATAAGGTAAGCTTTTTGATAGAGGTAATAACATTCTACTTCATAGCAGGGTTGTGGATTTTGCATTGTGGACATGAAAAATTCATGAGTGTAAAAATGACCATCCTTTGGCTAAGGTATTCCCTTTCAGAGCACTTGACATAACTATCTTAATCTGGCAAAATACTGGCCATAAATAAAGGGTACTCCCTACTAGAAGGCATTATAAAGACCTATAGACATCAGTTGTGAATTATTCATAGCTGTATGCAGTTAGCAGATAGTGAATTTGCTCTTACAGAACAAAACACAGCATCTATAGCTGATTTTTTTCAAAGTTGACTCAGCATAGTGGTGTGTACTGGCGCTGGCTGCCCTTTCACATTCACAGCTTTAAATTTTATGGGGACATTTTAATATTGATACTTACATATCTAAATACATGCAAGCTTTTTAAACAGATGTCATTAGTACTTCTAGAATAATTCAGTTGTGATGTATTTTATAGCACTAAAATATGTACGTTACTCAGATTTCTTTGGATTTTCATTACATTCAATTTGTACTCATGGGATTATTTTTCTCTTAATGCACCTACCTCCCTTTTTAACAATAAAGGGAATTTCAGTGCAAACAAAAGGAAGGATGTCCTCACAAAATATCTATACTTCTGGGAGTTGACACCTTACCCACGTAGACTAGTCCATGTCCTGGTCCCAGTAAGCTGAGATAAAAATACAGTTGTATGTGATTTTATTTGAGAATTTTTAAATGAGGTTTTATACATTATATATTTTAGTTTTCCCTGCATATTTAAGTATTATAATATAGTTACTAAATGAAGTTTGCAATTCAGAATTATTACTTTAAATAAAGTACATCTCTTCCCTCATGTTTTTTACTTCTCTTACTTTCTTCCCTTTTTTCTGTTCATACTAGGGATGTTAACAGTGATTAGTAAGCTAATCGAGTAGTCGATGGAATTTCCATCAAGAACTTGATTAGTTGATAAGGGGATTCACTGCGGATCTGCATTTTAAATGTAGTAAGAGGCTCTTGCTACATTTAAAAGGGAGAGCCGCTGTGGTCTAGAACTGAGCGCGAGCCGGGACAACTGAATCCCTGCTCGCACCCATTCCCAGAGGCTGCACCTCTGCTTTTACCAAGAACCAGGTGGCTCTTACTACATTTAAAAAGCAAAGGCGCAGTGTCTGGGAATGGCGTGAGCCTGGAGTGCTCAGTCCTAGCTCGCGCCAGGTCCCTCGTTGCGCCTCTGCCTCTCCTGCCCCCCTCTCCCTCCGTGGAGATGGTGCCTGGGGGGAACCGGCTTTTAAGCCAGCTCCCTCCAGCACCAGCTTCTGCTCCCACCCCTTGCTGCCTCTGATACAGATTATTGTACAAAGGGTTGGAGGAAACAACTAGTCAAGTAGTGACTTGACTACCCGGTTGTCTACTTGACTAGTCGCTTCCATCCCTAGTTCATAAAAGAGATAGCTTTACAAGTAAATCAAACTGGTCATAATTCAGCTTTTTAGGTTTCTGAGGTTCTATATTTGGGGAAGTGCTCCCTGTTTTAAATGCTTCATTTACCTTTAGTAATACAGTCAAGGAGGCAACTCCATGGTCCAGATAGTGCCTCAGGGTGAAATCACAAAACCTATTGCATGTGAGGTAAATTGCTTGTTCTAGGTCAGGAAACTGTGCAGTTCCAAGATAGTGAATTGCATAATTCAAGAAGTTCGTTGTCACCTATCATCCATACATTATTTTGTAAGACAAACTTAATGGTACTGTTGCAAATATCTGCCAGAAATGGCCAGTAAGCATAGATGGGGGAGCACATCCTCCAATATATTGTTCCTTTTCTCTGAAAGTCTCTGTACATCAACACTTCCCATTGGGATTTTTAGTTTTCAGAGTGAGAATGGACAAAAGGCAGCTGCTTTCAGAGGCACCTGTTTTACTCTGAAACTTGGAAAGTTTTTGTTAGAAAATCCATGCCATCCATCTCTTGAGAATGGGACATAGAATCATAGAATACTTGGACTGGAAGGGACCTTGAGAGGTCATCAAGTCCAGTCCCTGCCCTCCATGGCAGGACCCGCGTTGGGGACCACTGGTCTAGACCATCCCTGATAGACATTTATCTAATCTACTCTTAAATATCTCCAGAGATGGAGATTCCACAACCTCCCTAGGCAATTTATTCCAGTGTTTAACCACCCTGGCAGGAAGTTTTTTCTAATGTCCAATCTAAATTTCCCTTGCTGCAGTTTAAGCCCATTGCTTCTTGTTCTATCCTCAAAGGCCAGGAAGAACAAGTTTTCTCCTTCCTCCTTGTGACACCCTTTTAGATACCCAAAAACCGCTATCATGTTCTCTCTCAATCTTCTCTTTTCCAAACTAAACAAGCCTAGTTCTTTCAGTCTTCCATCATAGGTCATGTTCTCTAGTCCTTTAATCATTCTTGTTGCTCTTCTCTGGACCTTCTCCAATTTCTTCACATCTTTCTTGAAATGTGGTTCCTAGAACTGTACAGAATACTGCAACTGAGGCCTAATCAGTGTAGAGTAGAGCGGAAGAATGACTTCCTGTGTCTTGCTCACAACACACCTGTTAATGCATCCCAGAATCATGTTTGCTTTTTTTGCAACAGCATCACACTGCTGACTCATATTCAGCTTGTGGTCCACTGGAACCCCTAGATCCATTTCTGCCGTACTCCTTCCAAGACAGTCGCTTCCCATTCTGTTCGTGTGAAACTGATTGTTTCCTCCTAAGTGGAGCACTTGCATTTGTCCTTATTAAACTTCATCCTGTTTACCTCAGACCATTTCTCCAATTTGTCCAGATCATTTTGAATTATGACTCTGTCCTCCAAAGCAGTTGCAACCCCTCCCAGCTTGGTATCATCTGCAAACCTAATAAGTGTACTCTCTATGCCGATATTTAAATAGTTGATGAAGATATTGAACAGAACCAGTCCCAAAACTGACCCCTGCGTAACCCCACTTGTTATACCTTTCCAGCAGGATTGTGAACCGTTAATAACTACTCTCTGAGAATGGTTATCCGGCCAGTTATGCACCCAACTTATAGTAGCCCTATCTAAGTTGTATTTGCCTAGTTTATTGATAAGAATATCATGCAAGACCATATCAAATGCCTTACTAAAGTCTAGGTATACCATAAAGCACATAAAGCATAAACCTTTTTTGTGACATAAAGTAGAACCTCTGTTGGATTGTCACTGATTGAAGCATAATTCTTAAGTGATCTGCTTTAGTGGGAAGGAGGACTGGTTGTTATCACAGATACTTCAGGAGTCTCAGATTTCACTAGCAACCTTGGGAAATCAATAAAGGACCATTCTTCCTGCCACTCCACAAACTTTTCACCATAGGGACAATGCATTGAAACTGCTATTCATTTCAACTCTTCCATGCAAGATACCTTCTCCTGTGGAAAAGCAGGGTGGCGCTGTCATGTCCTATCTCCTCCACAGAAGGAGCTTTTGAAGAAGGTAGTCCTTTTGCTCTTTCACACAAATGAATCAAACTCATCTCTGTGCAGGATGTGGTTATTTTCTGCTGGACCTGGCTTTTTGGATGTTTTTAAGACATTCAAAAGTTTGTAGCATAAATTCCAGTTAAATACACATATACAGATACCAAACTGTAAAGCCCATATTATATATTTAAGGTAATTTATCTAATAATGAAGCTCTATGGAATGAACAGGTGATTTTTACACAATCGAATGAAAACACTTTTTGCTCGTGTCATTTTGGAAGCTATTAGAAAATTAAGAGTTAAGATAAACATTGAATGTCATGAACCAAGTTTTGCTTTGTTTTACTGCTTTAATGCTGTTACTAACGTGGAATTATTCCAGATTTATGTGGTTCTAAGAGTGTGGAATTTGGCTCGTTATTATACCTGCTATGAATTTGGATAGCTCTTTGGAATATTTTGCCAGATTGTGATGTTTCATGTATGCTCCTTTCACTTTCCTGTCTATTATATTCTACCCCACATGTATTCTATACTGCACCCTAAATTGAAAACATTCATGGATGCATTCATAATAAAAGCGTACAGTGATACATAGCATGCCAATAAGGTAAGAGGAAAGGTAGCCAAGTTAAGTGTGATAGATAGGCAGCGATCACACAAATCATACACTTTTAGGATCCAGTCTAGCAAAGCACTTAAGCATATGTTTAACTTTGAACGCATACTCAATGTTTTCTGAAACAAGGCCTGTTGATAGAAGATAGATTGTGAAAATTGAGGATAACATTGAGATCTGTAATATTTCTTCAATTTTAAAGAGGCTCTGTTCTCACTGGTGGGAAGTGGTTGTCTTCCTTCACATGCCTCTGTAGATCATAGAATCATAGGACTGGAAGGGACCTCGAGAGGTCATCGAGTCCAGCCCCTCACCCTCAAGGCAGGACCAAGCTCCATCTACACCATCCCTGACAGATGTCTATCTAACCTGTTCTTAAATATCTCCAGAGAGGGAGATTCCACCACCTCCCTTGGCAATTTATTCCAATATTTGACCACCCTGACAGGAATTTTTTCCTAATGTCCAATCTAAACCTCCCCTGCTGCACTTTAAGCCCATTACTCCTTGTCCTGTCCTCAGAAACCAAGAGGAACAAATTTTCTCCTTCCTCCTTGTGACACCCTTTTAGATATTTGAAAACCGCTATCATGTCCCCCCTTAATCTTCTTTTTTCCAAACTAAACAAGCCCAGTTCATGAAGCCTGGCTTCATAGGTCATGTTCTCTAGACCTTTAATCATTCTTGTCGCTCTTCTCTGTACCCTTTCCAATTTCTCCACATCTTTCTTGAAATGTGGTGCCCAGAACTGGACACAGTACTCCAGCTGAGGCCTAACTAGTGCGGAGTAGAGCGGCAGAATGACTTCACGAGTTTTGCTTACAACACACCTGTTGATACAACCTAGACTCATATTTGCTTTTTTTGCAACAGCATCGCACTGTTGACTCATATTC